CGGTTTTTTGCAGAGAACACTGGCCACGTTCCCTGCAATAAGATAATAGTTGTGTCTGACTCAATGTTGATATAAAAATTGAGTATGCATGGCACAACCCAAGCAAATGTTGGCTGCGTTAGTTGTGGCTTCTATATTTAAAATTTTCTCAATAAATGGCAACATTGTCTTTAGGTTGTATAGTCCAAAACTTTGGAGTAATTTTTATCCTTTTCTCTTTTTATACCTTACATCAAGGCCACCAACAAATTCTGTGGGATGGACATGCTTGAAGCTCTCACTCACGTGGGGTGAGGCAATATATGTAACCTTAACGTTTGTACCCCTGTAATATGCTGAAAGGAAAAAAGAAAAAAAAATTCCATGGAGGGGATCCACCTTCACAATGCATCCACTTCCACTCCTACTGCCCTGGTCCAAACCACTATCACCTTTCAGCTGGGCTGTTACAGTAACATCGTCACTGGTCACCTTGCTTCTGCTGTTGCTCCTCTATATCCTATTCTCCTTACAATAGCCACAATAATCCACTGGACAATTAAGTCAGATCATGTCATTCTGCTGACATGCAAAACCTTCCAAAGCACAAAACCTGTTTGTCACTTAGAATAAAGCTATACCCCTTACAATTATCTAAAGGCCTTACAAGATCTGCCAGCAGCCAATCCTGGCCTGTGCCACTCTAGTGACACTGGCACCCTCAGATCACTGCTACTAACCATGCCTCCTCCCCAGGGACTTTTCATTTGCTGATATGCTACCTGGAACCTCTTTCCTTAGATATCTTCTCGGCTCCTTCCTCAATTCCTTCGGGCCTGGTTATGTATTCCCTCTCCATGAAGCCTTCTCTGACTACCTTGTGGAAAATGATCCCTCTCTGCAGCCTCCACGTATCATTTACTCCACTTTATTTTTCTCATGGAAGGTATTACAATCTGATGCACTATATAATTCATTTTTTTAAATTTACTACTGTTTCTCCCTTCTAGAATATGAAAATAGAGACTTCATCTGTTTTTCTTTTTTTCACTGCTGTATCTCCACTATATATCTAGAGTGCTAGATACGTAGTAGATAATCAATAAATATTTGGAAATTAACTTATAAATTAATTTTTAAATAAAGCTTAAAACTATATTCTATTAGGTAACCCTTCCCGCCACCCCAGTGCATGCACATTCACATACCATGGCCAAATGATATAATTTGTTCAACAGCTTGGTTGTACTTCGTTGATAAGAATACTCATATTAGCTAAGTCTAATATGAGGACTAGAATAAGCTTAATAAGAATGTTCTTCAATAGCATATTTTGTTTCCATTTGACTTCAAAGCAAGTTTGAAAAGAGATGTTTATAAGTTGGTTAAATAGAAATAAATCCCAAATACAATAAAACAGAAAAACCCATGATGAAATAACAAACAGGGTAAGAATACATGGACTTTAAATATTTTAAAGAGTTGTAAAATAGCTCAAAGATAGCGAAAGGCACAAACTCCATAGAATCATCTAGCCCCAAAGAGAAGGCTAAGACAACATAGACATTGAAGATATCTAGTGATTTTTGTATTACATTTAAAAGCCTTTCGCAATATTTTTCCTGACAAAATTTAAATGTATTTAGCCATTATATATCAAAAGAAGTACAGATGATTTTAAATAAAATAAATTTATATAAAAGGAAAATCTTTTTTATTATTTATTTCTATTTACAATTGACATTTATCAAAGCCGGGGGGCTGGGGTGATAGCCCCTGTGCAGTCAAAAATCCACAAATGCCTCTTGACTTCCCCAAAAGTTAACTACTAATAGCCTACTATTGATGGGAAGCCTTACTTATAAATAGTCAATTAACACATATTTTGTGTGCTATACGTATTATATACCATACTGTTAAAGTAAGCTAGAGAAAAGAAAATGTTATTAAGAACAATCATAAGGAAGAAAAATATATTTACTACTTATTAAGTGAAAGTGGATCATCACAAAGGTCTTCATCCTCATTGTCTCCATGTTGAGTGGCTAAAGAAGAGGAAGAAGAGGAGGAATTGGTCACAGGTGGCAGAAGCAGAAGAAAATCCACGAATAAGTGGACCCACGCAGTTCAGACCCACGTTGTTAAAGAATCAACTGTATTTACAGGGGAAAAATACAAATTTTCCGCATTCTTTGGAGTCCTGGCAAGAAACAGCATACTCAGAATGAAAGATTAAAGAGGGTTTAATGAAGACTACTTTTCAAGGTATGCTTGGGTTTAAAGAAGACTTCTAAGGCATGATAAAGCACCCCAGAGCCAGTAACAGTAGGCAACCATTACCACAAGTAGGCTGGAGAGAGCAAGGGCAGAAGGTGATTACAGGAATCCAAAAGGAATTGTAGCAGTAAAGGTGTTCCCCAAAGAGCTGTAGCCTTAATTAAAGGCACCCAAGCCACTGACAAGCCACAGGAGGGAACCAACCAAATAAATACCCTGTCATCCTTTTCTTCCCTCCCTGATCGCTAGCATTCACCTGTTGGCCAGAGGTAAGGCAGCTGATTAAAGCTGACCTTGAAAAACAGCCACCCAAGGTGGAAAAGAGTGAGAGGAGATCCAAAGGAGTGAAAGGAGTATATAGAGTTTACTTTCCAGAGGTTTATTCAATTGTTTTCTAAGATCGTGAACCCCCCTTTTTGGAGTTACCTGGAAAAAGGAAAACAGAGGAAATAAGTAGAGTCTTCCGACTTATTTATTTACTTAATCAATATTTATTGAATACCTTTGTGAGTTAGACACTGAACCAAGTGCTGGGCATAAAAAGGTGAACAAGACAGATACAGCCCTCTTCTCTGCAGCTTATTTAAAGAGCATTTAAATAGAACAAGGGGGGCCAATTAGAATTAATCTGTATATCAACAGTGTGCAGAACCAGAACCAAGAGTTGTAAAAGAGTTTTTAAAAATATATTTAAGGAGGAGTTTTCAAACATTTCATATTGGCTGAGAAGGAGTCAGATTTTTTACAGGTGAGTGCTCTCTGCCTGGATGTCCTCCAACTACCAGGAATTCAGCATCCTCATTAGAAGCTGAATTAGACAGCTTCAAAGATTTATTCTCATATCTTTTTATAAAATCGAAAAAGAAAAAAATGTTTCTTCTCTTCTGGCATCCCATGAAAGAAAATAGCTTCTGTTATTAAAATGCCTTTGGCTTACCTGAAAACCCAAAGTAGACAGTGGTCATCAACTTTTCCACTAAGAATTTTGTTTTTACAGGTTGATCTACCACTTTTCAATTTGTCATCAGCATTGAAGTAAAAGAAATCAGAATGAATGTGACTGAATTCATTCTGATGGGACTGACACAGAATCCTCAGACACAGAGAATTCTATTTTTGGTGTTACTTATCACCTACATTGTCACTGTCTTGGGAAACCTGCTCATTGTGGTTACCATAATCTGTAGCCAGACTTTGGACTCCCCAATGTATTTCTTCCTGGCTTTCTTATCTTTGATAGATGCTTGCTATTCCTCTTCCATAATCCCTAAAATGCTAACTGACTTGCTCTCTGAGACAAAAGCTATCTCCTTCAATGGCTGCATGATATAGCTCTTTGTTGAACATTTCTTAGGTGCTTCAGAGATTGCCCTCCTGGTGGTCATGGCCTATGACCGCTACGTGGCCATCTGCAGACCTCTGCACTACGTGACCATGATGAGCCACCGCATATGCTGCCTCCTGGTGGGGGTGTGTTGGACAGTAGGCTTTCTCCACTCTATTGGGCAGATTTTAGTTACTTTCTGGCTCCCATTCTGTGGCCCTAACGTCATGGATCACTTCACGTGTGACATTTTCCCCCTGATACAACTGGCCTGCACTGACACTTTTCTTGTTGGTCTCCTGGTTGCTGCCAATGGTGGGGTAATCCCTGTGATCACCTTTGTAACATTGTTGATATCCTATGTGCTCATCCTGTGCTCCTTGAAGACTCACAGCTCTGCGGGGAGGAAAAAGGCCCTTTCTACCTGTGGCTCCCACATCACCGTTGTTATTTTATTCTTTGTGCCCTGTATTTTTATGTATCTGCGACCAGTAGCCACCTTTCCCATGGATAAAGCCATAGCAGTGTTTTATACTCTCGTCACTCCCATGTTAAATCCGGTTATCTACACAGTGAGGAATGCAGAGGTGAAAAATGCTATCAGAATGTTGTTAAACAGGAATGTAATTTCAGGGAATAAATGATCTAATATGAAGATTGCATTTCCATCATGATCTTTTCAATTTTTTATTTCATTACTTTAAAGCCCTTTCCCCACCTCTCACTCGACTCTCACAGCGCTTTTGCCAGGTAGGTACTATTAGGATTATTCAATTTTACAGATGAAGAAAACAAAATCCAAAAAAGTTAAGTAGCCAGCTCAATGTCAGAAACGATCTAGTATTCAGATCTGCATTCATCTAGATCCAAATTTGATGCTCGTTCAAACATATCAAAAGGTATCAGGAAAAAAGGGAACATTTAGATGAGAATCCCTCTTTTTTGCAGCAAATAAAGAAAAATTTCTCTTCAAATTGCAGAGTTGCATAACGTGCCTGCATATTTAAGCAGTATTGTCTCCTGGTGTCTAGGATAGTGTGGAATATATTATAATTTAGAAAGAAGATCTTGCCAATACTCTCAGCACACACTTGATATATCTTACATTTAAAAATATGTGGGGTTTCTTCTACTCAGTAAAAGTTGTCAGTGATTATAAAAATTAATTGTATTAAACCTATGTGAAATTGTTAAATGTCCTCACATGGTTACAACAACTTTATAAAACTGACATCTAATGTTCTTATTTTACAGAAAAATGGAGGATCGAAAGGTTAAATAACTATTAATAAATCATAGAACATGTACATAATCCTTGAGCCCAAATGTGCTTACTCTATATCCTATGATATTTTCACTATAGTATATCTTGGAACTGACATTTAATTATGATTTAGTATGTAAAATTTTTTTGATTATATGTTAGAACACTGACAATTTATTATATTAAAATTCATTAGTGGCAATTTTTTTACAACAGCAAATAGTAAAATTTATCCCTAAAATAGTTTCACTATTAAAAATCTGCTTGTGCATTTAGTTCTTGAATCTGGTATCCTCTTTGAAACTGCTTCAGGAAATGTTTTAGAAAGTATACGGAAAGAAATTGGAAATCATTACTCCATTATAGAACAAAGCAAACATTTCTCACCTAAACCACTTACCCTATTTACAATATTTCTACATTGAAATCATGTTATTTGAGTATCATGGAGTGAGAAGAAATTTAGTTTTTACTTTTTCTGGCTGAGGTCCATATTTTAATCCTTAGTAACAGCAGCTGCCCTGCAGTTAGATGACATGATTTTGATAATAGTCTGAAAGGTGAAGAGAACCCCAGACTACATGTCAGAAAAACTGAGTCCTGATATTTCTAGGTGGCCAAAAAGAGTACTAGTCCCTTTTCTTCATCTGTGTGATCAGGCAGAGGGTTCATGTGTCACTGAAGAACAGAGCTTAGCTGTGCAGCAAATCTTTGAATGTATAAGATCATGATCTGGATTTGTGCTTGGGGAGCATCAGCTTGGCCTGGCTCCAGTGGAGCTCTGCCCCTGGGAAAAGCCTCAATCACTGCCTGGTGGATGGGAATTCTCGGGTACTGTGATGAGCTCCTCAACCAGTAGAGACTCAGCCTCAAAGGGATGCAGTTGGAATGATGTAAGTCTGCACCTTGTGGAATTCTGTGACGTTTGAAAATGGCACTTTGCCCTCTTATAGTCCAGGTCTATTACCCAAAGGAGAACATCTTATTAATGATGTTTCTTCCAAAAGGTGGATTGGAAACTGCTTACAAATTAAGCTCAAAATACAGCCAAATGGCAGGCACAGTCCCATGAATGATTGTGTAAACAGCTTAGCTGGCTACCTTTTTGAGCAACTTTTCCTATGGAAATGAAGTTTAAGTTCCTCTGCCAGCCACAAAGGTTGTTTTCTATTTAAGTCCTAGGACACTTGGTGCATGTGTTTTCAATGTTTTGTTAAAATCATTAGAAACCCTAGTCCTATCAAATAACTCCCCATTGAATGATTAGATGATTTGTTCCCTGTGCAGGTCCTGACTTACTTTGAAACTCTAGTGTGTCATGGAGGTGGCCTTAAGAATTTACTTGAGCATTTAATATGTTCCTATTAATTTGAGCTACTATTTTGAAATTGTTGAAATAATCAAATCACTTAAATACATGCACTATTCTGTTATACTTAAAATGTGTCATTAATTCACTTTTTCATTTTATTTATATACACAAACTGTGCTCCCAGGATGGAGAGACTTGAACTATCAACAATTTCCGGCTTTATTTATTTTAATCTCTTTTGGCAAGGTATCAGAAATTAAGTGTCTTCCTTTTGGCTTCTATCCAGATAATTAAGATTAGCAAAGAAGAGTGTGTATGTTGCAGAGATGCGCTCTTAGGATGAGGAGGAACAGAAATAGCTCGTACATCTAGGATGGTTTTGGAAAGATCATTGGTTTCTCTTCTTTCATTCGATTCTGTCTGTCTGTCTCTCTCTCTCTCTCTGTGTATATACACACACACACATATATACACATATAGAGAGAGTATATGTATTTCTGCTTTCCTCTTGTACCAACTTCCTTTCATCTTTATTTTTCTACTAATCTTTTTTGAGAAAGAAGTTATGTGGTATTTCCCTGTCTGTTTTAATTAGTTAATGATACTTCAAATTCTGGCTTTCATTTTTAATGCAAAGATGAATTGGATTGTAAACACATTTATCAATATAAACACATATTTATCAGCAGCTGAGTTTGATGCTGATGATTTGCTGGGGAGGGGGTGGTGAAATCAAGGGAGGTTGTTCAGAGACTAAGCCCTCTCCCTCCAGAGCATTCCAAGAAAGCATTCCTTTTTGTATCTACAGTGCTGTAGTAATTTTCATCCTATAAAAGTGCTACTGTAGATAATTCTATCTTCACTCATCTCTCAAGGAAAGCAAACTGAATTAAGAAGACTTATGGACAGTAATAATCCTTTCAAAGCCCTTACTTAGAGATGCAGGCTATTGATGATACATGTGCTCAGGTTACAGACCTTCTGAGGACACGGGGCCACTGATTGCTTATTAAAAATGGCAACTCACCTTCTTATAATTCAAGATTTTACTGAAGAAATTGTTTAGCTCCATAAGAAATTCAGATGCAAGATACACACCTGAGCTATAAAGTGAACTTCCTGGATTCAAATCCTGACTCTATAACATACTAACTGTATGGTCTTTAGCAAATTAATTATTTTGCTTTTTCACAGCCATAAAATGTGCCACATCTTTGCCAGATGTGAGGATTAAATGAGAAAACATGTATAAAGTACTAGCAAAATGTCTGGTACGTAGCAGGTGCTAACCAATGTATTAAGTACTATTCAGCCTTAAAAAAAAAAAAATGGTGAACTAATATCTCTTATATTATCCTGGATGGAGCTGGGGCCTATTCCTCTAAGTGAAGTATCACAAGAATGGGAAAACAAACATCACAGTACTCACCATTAAATTGGTCCTAATCGATCAACACTCATGTGCACATATGGAAGTAACATTCATCAGGGATGGAGGAGGTGGGGGCGTAGGAGGGGATGGGTAAATTCACACCTAATGGGTGCAGTACGCGCTGTCTAGGGGATGGGCACACTTGTAGCTTTGACTTGGTGGTGCAAAGACAATTTATGTGACCAAAGCGTTTGTACCCCTATAATATTCTGAAATAAAAAAAAATCCATGAGTAAAGATGTCTCTGAAGTAATGTTCATTGCAGCATCATTGTGTATGGCAACATATTGGAAACAGCATAAATGTCAAGCAAAAATAGGCTGGTTAAAGGAATTATGATGCAACCATAAAATGGTACAATATGCAGCAATTAGAAGGAGATAAATTTATAAATTCTACCATGAGATAATGTCCATGAAACTACTAGATTAGAATTTCAGGCTAGGTGCAGTTGCTTATGTCTAGAATCCCAGCAGTTTGGGAGGCCAAGGAGGGAGGATCACTTGAGCCCAGGAGTTTGTTACCAGCCTGGGCAACACAGCAAGACCCTGTCTCTGAAAAAAAAAAAAAAAGAAAGAAAGAAAGAAAATGAAACAAGAAAATAATTAGACAGGTGTGGTGGCACGTGCCTATAGTCCTAGCTGCTCAGGAGAGTGAGGCAGGAGGATTGCTTGAGCCCAGTAAGCTATGATCATGCCACTACACTCCACCCTGGGTGACAGAGTGAGATCCTGTCTTTAAAAGAAATAAAAATAAAATTTCATGTGTCATATTTTGTATACTTTTATATGAAGTAAAATACATCAATGATTGTACATGTAAAATATATCTAAAAATGACCCTCTAAAGACCATGCACTAAAGTGTTTTTTATTTTTTAATTGACAATAATTATATATATGTATGGACTACAATGTGATATTTTGAGGTATGTATGATTATACATGATTAAATCAAGCTAATTTTATCCATCACTAGTGCTTGTGGTTCAGAGCGATCCTTTGACTTTAAACTTTTTATCACAGTATATAAGATATTTTCCACAGGCCGTGCTTTACTTTCCTAATTTATAAAAATAATACTGAAAACCATTATGTTTTATTTAATCTATTTTGCTTTGGGTTATAACTGCAGGCTGTTGTAGGAAATGGTTTTGGGAGACTTGTCTTTTAAAGTCAATTCAAAAACTTATATCCTGCTGCGTGTTAGGGGATGTTAAGTTGATATTCCGCTGTCCAGGTGAGCACATAGTAGCAGTGTATGTAAGCACATGTCTGTGTGATCCATGCAGAGGTGGGGGGGCCTGTTTGAAGGGAGTTTGTGCTTAGTATTATTATCCAAAACCTGGGAAAAGAAATGGCGATACTGATCTAAGCCTTTTACACTGATAAAATCATTTAATCCTTACAAAAACCTTTTGAGATAGGTAACATTAGTTTGCCATTTTATAGAAAATGAAACTGAGGCACAGAGAGGTTGTCAGTCATATAATGGGTATTCAGACATAAGAACTAACCGTTATGTGGAAAATCAGGAATATTGCACAGGTAAAGATACCTCTTATTGCCAGTCTACACGGGTGCATGTACACAACACATCTTGCACCTAGGGCCAGGAGGGGTGTATGAGACTAACTT